GGAAGCCCTAGCAAAAATAAGTCGTAAATGAATAAAAAACCATCATATGGTTCTTCGGCTGGAAGTACCAGGAAATGCTCAGTCATTTCTCCCGTCGTCCAGTCCCTCCGATATTTCTTGGGCTGAAGAAAAGAGTTGCTCTTCAGACAGGCTGCAGGGCAGCGGTGGCGAGGGGAGTCTTTTGTAGCGCCTTGCGAAGTTTGTCGCAAGCTGTTTGGCCTCCAAGGCTTGAATCCTGTACCCAAATCACTTCCTTTACCCAAGGCGTCATTCTTTGTAGCATCGCATTTCTTGGTGCATGATCGATGTGCATGCAATTATTTCTCCACGTGGCTACAGGACCAGGATCTTTTTGTATCCATTTTTGGCACTGGTGCATTTGAACGAGGCTTTGATGGCAAGCAGCTTGACAACTGTGATCCCCCATTGGATTTCTTGGTGGAAGCGGTCCCGGGATCTGTCTCCGTTCGTTTGAAACAGATTTACCGAACGCATGGCCCTGTGACCTGCCCCAAGGTCACCCACTAGATACCCATGGCCCCAGAAATGGGCAGTCGTGTTCCGTATGGCACTGGCACCCATCTTTTAGGGGAGTCCATGTAAACCGCCTAACTGGGGGGGATTGGGCCATTTACTCAGAAACCTCATTCCACATCATGACCCTCATCACTGATATGATGAACAACTATATATCAGCCCGAATCAAAGCCTCATGAGTCACTGAAGCTGAGCCAGACGTCTCAGCAGCACATTTATGAAGATCACCTTTCAGCGTTTGGGTGCGATGGAGAATCGACGGCCTCAGGATTCTTGATTTGTCTACCTACCAGGGTGGCAGCCAGGGTGGCGGCAACGAGCACTGAGAAAAGAACATATCCCAGACGCTCCATGTATGCCATATATATATATATATATGCCTACATTGACCCCCAAAACCATTAAAAAATAGGCATATATTCTATGTTTTGTGATACTCAAACAGGTGCTAAGTGAAACGGCCGGCTCAGAGCCCTATCGAATTTTTGATACTGCATGCAACGTCTCTATAATGAGGTTTGAGGGGGGCCATTGATGCATTCAGGGTCGTGCGCTTTCGGATGCACCCCACAAAAACACTGGCTAATGGCTCAAAAGCAGGGTGCCATCTAAACCGAGTGGAGAAAAAGGTAAGATAGAATTAAGATGATTTTTTGAGCCACATCCACGTGTAAGCCCGTTGCAATTCATGTATTAGTGAACCTCATGGCCGCGGGGAAGCATCGCCCCCAAGACAATCCCCCTGGATTGATGCGTTGCACGCGCAACAGCACCGTGACTGGACACGAGTCTTCAGCCGCGAATCGTATCAGGACGTGGCTTGAGAGTGACCCAAAAGCCCCAGGACTTACTTTGGCACCTGTGATCAGATCAGGAAAGGACTCCCGTCTAAAAGGCGCCAAAGTTGCGCGAGTTGTGCCAGTAGGACGTGTCAAAACCCCGGCCCAGCCCAACATGTTGCAATCTTTGGGGCCTCTCAGAGTATTGCCAGTCGGCCCAGCCCAACTTGTCAAACCCCCCCCCAGTTTCTCGGGTTGTGCCAGTAGGTATTTTTGGGGGGGTCTCTCAGAGTATTTTGCCATGTTTGGGGCCTCTCATCCCGCCGGCCGTGTGTTCTTTGGGGTTTTCTTTTTCGGTGAGTTTGGGGCCACAGCTTCAGAACGGCTCTTTTGTTCGAAGCAATGCAACTATTTCACAGACCACTCTCTACAGTCCAACTCAGCTTCGCCATTGGGTCATCAGGGGGCTCGAGATATCATGTTCAGGGTCGATGCTCACGATCAGGTGCGGCGCGCCGTGAATGAACGGCATGGGGTTGATGAATTTTAGTGTATTTTCACACTGGGACATTTTGGAACCATTCTCTCTCGCCGTTTTTGGGATGTTGGTCAGAACTCAGAAGGCGAACAACCTCAAAAACTCGCAAAAAAGAATTGTCAGGTCAACATGCCCAGCGCCCGTGGGGCTGACCTGGTGCTTTCATGCTTTTAGCATCTCACAAAATAGCATTTGGATGCATTTGGAAACCTAAACCCTGAGATGAGCTGCCAATAGACATGTGTTCCGTTCCGTGTTTGGCAGAAAGAGGGCAAACATGATTCTTACAAATTTCTTTGAGCTCCTGAAGTGTTTTGGTTTTGACATCTTTGTCCAGCCTCGGTGTTCGGCATGAGCTGCCTGCGTAGTGTGTTTAGCAAGATGCCGGGTCTTGTTCATGAAGATGGAAGGGGATGTTGTCTTTTGGGAGGGTAGTAACGGAAGACGATATGTATGGGAGAATTGAATACGATGGAATATAATTACACGTTGGACATGTTCCTTGAAGAAACATGAAGCAATATATGCGACGGGAGATTGTCCGCCCACTGTTGAACTGGTCAAGAAGTGGTGGGCCAACATGCTGTGATGCACCACTTGGGCTGAGCAGTGGAACCCCATCAAACTCTAGGCAGTACTAGGCAGACACTGACAGACCAACAAATCATTAACAGGGAGGGGTCTTTTTCTCAGAGGTGGCTCATCAAGAGAAGTATCTTCCAATTCAGTGACCTTGGCCCGAGCAAGATAGACCAAAGTATACAGATAGATTCAGAGAGACTTGCACAGCTGGCTTTGGCTTTGGATGATTCCCCTGTTGTGAACCCTGATGGGGACATCTCCAGCTTGGGCCAATCGAAGTTTTTGAATTTGCAAAGCATCGGCACTTCACATCGGACAGGTTAACCTGTAGCACTGGCGGCGAGTCGCAAGATCGAGCAAGAAGAAATGTAAAACCATCAAAGGATATCAAATGCCTATTGAAATTGAATCGACTGGACTCTCAGCATGTTGATACGCCTCATGATGTCTTTGGGTGAAGACAAGAAGCACGGCAACAGTACACCTGCTACAGTAGAGGATTGTGGTAGGCTAGAGGATTGCGGTAATATGATTTGGAGCGTTGAAAACCATCTCTAGATTTAGCATCGATTCGCGTCGAGCTTTGACAAACAAATACTCAAAGGTAAACGAAGGTACATTTCAGACAAAGACGGTTGTTTGTCCATTCAGCTTGTTGAGAAGGTGAGAGTTGACATCTTGTTTTTGCACCAGCACGGGTGATGGATACCATTGATCCCGGGCATGCCCACATTGCTCAGTGCGTTTGGTTGGTAGGGGACTAGACCTTCGAATTTCATGATATGTTTGTGTTGACATGTGTCGACTGACAAAGCGCCGGAGTGCGTTTCTAGCCACTTCAGTCTGAAGAGCATATGATGTTCCCCCAATCGGAATTCCTGTTCGTCTTCACTAAGACATCCCCCCCCACATGTTATGAACCCACATCAACCGTCTTGGGAGGTCCGATCGCTGGAGATCATGGGAGATCCATGAGCTTTTCCATTCAACTTAGTGGCTTCGCGTTGTTCGTGCGGAGGTGTGCGTGGAATTTCGGGTTTTCAACTTGTCACTCAAAAAGCATCACAAGAGCGACAATGGGACCTCACTCAGCTGTGAATCGTATTGAACCGCCGGACGTCCCACATGCAGAAGGCAACGGCTCGATCGCAACACACCGACTTCCTGCCATGCTGCGTGCGAATTCGCACTGTGTCCATGGGCACTTCGGTGCGTGCCGAATCGTCAAGTCCGAGACCCATTCGTTTCTGGGATTGCCATCCGTTTCAGCTGTATTCAACGTGGATGTTTGAGTGTTCACGGAAGTTGCACATGGAATTTGCAGGTGTTTTTTTGATAGACGGGTGCCTTTAGGCAAGATCGACCCTTTTCTTTAGCCATTGGCAGTCCCTTGGAGCTTGTTTTGCTGAAAGCCTCACTAAAGTGTTGTCCGCTCTTGTTTGGCCAGCGGGCATGTGGCACGTGTTTGGCCGCAGACAGTCGTGTGAAGCCGGAAACACGCGCCGGAGAGTCGAGGGCACCGGTTGTGAGCGCTGGACCGCTGTTGGGGACCTGCCCGGGACGCGTGACCGGGACGCGTGGTTTGGTGCCATGGGTACTGACAAGTGAGATCACCTTGAAACATGAAGCTCAGAAGAGAGTCCGGGGAATAAGATTGACATGTTTTGGGCAAGATGGAATGTTTGAATACTGCATACTATATGGTGAAAATGTGATAAAATCTGTATACCGGATTCGTGAACGGCATATTGTGAACGGGGGTGCAGGGGTGCGAACGTCGGGAAAACCCAGGAGCGAACCAAGGGTGGCAGCTCCACAAGGAAGGTTTGGACAGTTCGATGTCAACTGAAGCTTGAGAGACCTCAAAGCAATGCTGTATGTTGGCTGGCTGATCTCTCAAGACTTAAACCAACATATGCATAGACATTCATACAGAACTTTATGGGGTTATTTGTGGGACAGCCAAGAGTGGCTAGACTTGACAGAGAGAGAGAGAGAGAGAGAAAATCGATGAAAATCGTACCTGGCTGGTTTGAGGGGTGTTCCAGCCACAATCCAAAGCCACAAACCAAATGAAACAGTTGAGGCACTCACATGCGCGCATGAAACCACGGATCCAGATCTAAGGACCTGCCATTTCTCAGAACGAGTTCCGACGATGCGTGTATCAGATCAGTTTTGACTCGGAGATGTATTGTAACGGGGGTCTAGGAGTGTTTACGTATTGTTTCGTCATGTACCTGTGTGTGTGTGTCTGAAATGTGTGTTTGATGTCGGGATACCCTCGGGTCTTGAATCACTTGTCGGATTCCTAGTCAGTTTGGCCGATCTGAAGTCCATCACCTGAGACCTGAGATCTGACTGACTGAGAGAGAGAGAGAGATGAGAGAGAGAGAGAGGTGCAACCTTCGACCCTCCTGCACAGGACCACATGGACTCTCAAAACCACTAGGGTGGTAGAGTTAAAATGCTCCACGGGGTGAATGTTCAAGTTCTGGTCCTTTGCAAGAACTTCACTCGCTGTCAGCCTCTCTCACCGCAATCGACCAGACTCTGCGCGCCAGGCAGGGCTGAAGATCACGGCCGTCTCCTGCCATCCCGGTGCCGTGGAGCCTCGGAGCCGGTGGGGTCCGGTACGGAGCCCGGTCGATGCGATTCCGGTGTCCGGTGGTCGGTGCCACACGGATCCACCAGGTCCGTTTTTGACCGCAGGGAGTGGTCCGGAGTGGTGTTTTAACTTGGATAGATCGAAAGCCAGAGAGCTGCGACTGAGCATGGCAATGTGAAGTCTGAGGACATCAGGGAAGCTTTGACTGGTTGAGGAAGTGCTCGGAACTCTGTGGTGATTTGAGAGCATTCGATTGGCATTGATTGGGTTTGCCATAGCGCCCGCCAGTGCCAAGTGAGGCCAGACTCCACATCGGTCCCAGGGGTGCTCTCACCTTTGTGCAGCTGGTAGGAAACTCGACGCGGCTGACCACTTCGAGGCTTCGAGCGACGGACCACGTTGGTTCAACGAAATGCCCCGTCCTGGCGAAGTCAACTGCAATAACCTTCCGGGTCTTCCTCGGTCGTCGCCGGTGCACTCTCCAAACACCAGAGCTGGAGCGCCACAGGAGGCTGGCCCAGCCAACGCTGGCGCCAAGTCAGAGATGACACCTGCTTAGGTGTTCACTTTCATGATACTTTTATGGCATCATCTTAGTATGGATATGTGTGGATCCGTTTGACGGGAGACGTTCATCATCCACGGAATTTCTCGGCCAAGACATCGACCCTTCGCTCCGTTGTTCTCTCGCTTCGGACACCAAAACCCCCCATTTGGACGTGGATTCCGGTGTACCACTCGTGCCACCCCGCGGTGGGTTCGGAAGAGGTTCCTTTTCGCCAGAGCCGAGGACACCGACTTGGCTCGCTGGACCATTAGCCCGGAGGGAGATCCTGGAAAGGCCACACAGATGCGCAAGGTGCGCCAGATGCCTTTTGCTCGTGGGAAGGTTTGGCTTTGTGAGGAAAATGGAAATAGCTGTGAGGTTCGAACATCATGAGTCAATGAGTAATATTATATGTATATATATATACACCCTTTTGGGATAAAGCATTGTAAAAACAGTGAAATTAATAATGCCAATGAAGCATTGAGTAAAGTGCGCTGGGGTTTGAGTCGACTTATCTCTGACCCCGCACCCTAGTCACAGTTTCAAGGATCTTACTGTACTGAGTCCCCGACAAATGGCCCAAAAGTGGAATCTTGGCCGCTTGCAGCGGCATTTCTACAGTTTTAGGCGGTCACGGCAGATCTCCCATCGAAGCCTATCTCAGCTCACAGGAAGCGCCCTGGGCAGATGTTTTGGCCACCTTCCTCACACGTACCGTGCAGCTGGGCGCCAATACCCAGGCGGGCGCCGTACATCAGTGCGCGTGGAAGCTCGACGGGACCGTGTGTGGTTCGATGGGACCTTGGGTGGTTCCTTTCGGTGGTTTCATATGGAACCCCTATCTGATAAGGACATCCTTGGGGTACCAGTGCCATCGAACCTCTGAAACCACTGTATTCAGGCTTTGGGTGGTGAGGAGGCGTGGCGCGGACCTCACACTGACATATTGAGCTTTGCAGCTGTAAACGTTGAAATGGAGTTCGTGTTTTTCTGCCATGTTTTCAGTTTTTGCAACGTTGAGTCACATGTCGTCAACCAAGTGCAGACCTCCCTATCCAGTTTGCACGTTGACAATTCTGCCAGGTGTACCTGGCCGCTGGCGGCGATGGTGGCTATGGAAGCTCCGGAGGTCAGTACTTCGATAACATGGCACCAGGCCCAGTGCAGGGAAGTGGCAGGCAGATGAAAGAGGCAAAGTTGCTGGTGGAAGCGCGCTTGGCTTCTGAAGAGTTGGACTTGTACTCTTGTCCGGGGTTGCATCGCCATCATCCAATTCCTGAAATCCTGATTTGGTGGTCGTGAGGCAAACATCCGTTCAGCCATGACATCCAAAAGCACAGCCCCTCGACTTGAAATTCTCCACCCGTTCCTGCCGTCGTACGGAGTCTGACGAACTGATAGCAAAACATTGGGCTTGTCCTATTAATTAGTAAACAAATATCACTCGTTTTGAACAAGGCCTTGAACCTAACCATCATCATCCACTGTTCTGCTACTGGCAATCGGAGATCGGATGGTCCAAAACAGCTGCACCTCGCCAGGACTCTTGAACCCGGTGGCCAACGACGAGCAGTTGGCACAGGAGCGGAGCGGACCTTCAGCCGGCATCGGGAGGTATCCTCACCTGGTCATAGTGAGAGAGAGAGAGAGAATGAAAGAAAGAAAGAAAGAAAGAGTGAGTTGGAATCAACCATGTCACACCCGAAGTCTCTTGACTCTTGCATTTGGGCCGGGAGATGTTGTTCGTTTCTCGTTGCAGCACGGCTGCTTGCTGCTTGGATGGCCCTTGTCAGACAAAAGAGAGAAGGAGATGATCCTTCCAACCATATATCTACCGCCTCCTCCAGCGGTCATCACCCTACCCGAATGGGATCCTTAAATGGACACTCCTCTGAAGGTCCGGGTGTGTTCGCATGTCCAACTACCCAAGCGTTCGGCGTGTTGGAGGTTTTCTTTTTCCGAACAGAAGAGAGGAAGAAGAACAGAAAAACCACTGAACTACATACAACTTACCACAATGTCCTATACATCCTATACATCAATCATCGTATATCATCATGCAGCATGCATATTATAAATCCGTTCGTGAATGGATGTCCCCTCAGTTTCGCAGAATCCGCCGACGCGCACTGGGATTTGCTTGGCTGCTGGGCTCGAGGCTGCCCTTGAGCAGCCCACAGACAAAGTCCAGGAAGAGAACAAAGGTGGGGTATTCCGCATTCCCCACAATAACAATAAATATTTGCAGATATCATATTTGCATGCGTTTGCTGACCAGTGCAGGATGAAATAGCAGCTGGCAGTGCTGGGTGTCTCCTATTCTTTCCTGACGCTGGATTAACCCCCCTCCTACTCCACCTCCTCCTCCTATTACTCTCCTGTTTTGTTTCACCTAGCTCCAACCCCTGAAAGCAAGAACCCAGCTTTGGCCTAGGGGATGACGATGCTTGGTAAGGATCATTCTCCCCGGAGGTGATCGGTGCAGCTCAGAATGAAAAGGCTTCAACTCAACAATAAACGAACCCCTCTTTTTTTAATGCTTGTAACTTCTAAGGCTCCAACGTTCGATTGGTAGGCAATGACTCTCGGCAAGAAAAATGGACCCCGGCAAGCCTGTGGAAACTGCGCCCCATGACACCACTTCTTTGGCTATTCTTTGCTACCTTCCCATGACCTAGAAGGTTGTGCATCGGTGTGCCAACAGATATTGTACTTAGCTCTCCCACTCACCCCCAGGTGACCTGTTACAGTACATCACCAAGACTTGATGAACGAGCTGAATACTGTTGGCCAACTGGCATCCCTGGCAGGTGCCCAGGCAGGCGCCCATCTACTGTAAGACTCGTCCCTCACAGACGTTCGGAGTGCGCAACACTTGACCCGGTGCCCTAGTGCCGCGAAGCCATGGCCTTCCGAGAGGAGCAGGTTGGAAGATGACTGGCAGTGAAAGACTATGATGATGACTAATGTACTCTTGACACTTGATGAATAAGCCCCCTCAAATGGGGGGGTCTATAATTCAAGAGTTTATAACCGTCTACATCGCAAAAGAGATTTGGCAATCGACTCAATTCAATTGCTGTCGGCGTTTCCTCCACCGGACATGGCCGGTTCACATGTTCTATCATGATCTGTTCCACCGTGCCACGTGTTTCCACGCCATGTATCTCCGGCCGGTCCGCCGGTATCCAGGTGCATGCAGCGGTGAACTTCCTCACCAATGATCAAGGCTTGCGGAACTGGATCTCTGAGCCTCGAAAAAACGGCCGTGTAGAGCAGAAAAAAGAACTGGCCCGGGAGTTTTCTTGGAGGGAGATGCGAACCACACCGCGATGGTCACGGGGTCGTTTGTTTCGACCGAATCTGAACAGTTTGGGATCGTCGAATCCCGGATGGCAGATTGTCGAATTGTTGTTCACCTGCCGTGTGGTGGGTTTTGGACCACCAAAAATGGATTCTCTGAGAGCATGGATTCCAACAGATCCACCGGTTTGGACGGAACGGACCGGTTCCAGGGCAGAGGTGGTGACAGTCCACATCCGGGGAGATTCAAAGCTCACAGGGTGAGGTCAATCTCAAAGCTCACAGGTGTCCAAAGTGGATTTGCCCTCAGATCCACTTGGTACAAAATATGTGACCTCAAAGCTTAAGGAGGCTCCAAGGGTCTGCAGGCTCATCAAGGGCCAGTTTGGTCACTTTGGGTCGTCAGGGCAGATGTCTGGAGTCTGGAGGGCGTGCAAGGGTCATGACACCGAGGACAAGGAGGACTTCCTCTTCCAAAAAGGCTTGAGCCAGTCAGAGGCGGACTGAAGCTGTGGGAGAGGATTCCAAATCCAGATCTACTGGGGCATGTCCCTATGGTCTTTTTGGTGTGATTCGGAACCTACTTTGGGACAGGCAGACTGGTCCGTTTTGTGGCGGCTGGTTTTGACCCCCACAGATATGGTTTTAATTGTCTTTATATTTTTGGGCTGTCACAGAATCACAGAAAAAGGATGAACATGGATAAATAATGCAGTGCTCCAATTATGTTGTTCACGCATGGACGGACGCGCACACACCTGCAGACTCATGCAGATGCATGCAGACTCAAGATCAGTCCATCTGCCTACCTCTGGAAGAGCTGACGGCATGAGGATTTGCGGCAGGAGAACTAGCTCCTCCTTCGTGCTCCGCTACTGCACGATCCATGCAATTCGAGGGCCAAGATAAGAGGCAAACAGTGAGGCAAACCGTTGGTCAAAATATCCCAACTTCCACCAGTTGATGATCGAAGGCCTATATCACGGCGCGCGATGACTCCTTTTTGATATATATACCCTAATCTTCAATGTCTATGGTAAACTTCGACGTTG